TTTTTTTTTTTTTTTTTTTTTTTTTTTTTTTTTTTTTTTTTTTTTTTTTTTTTTTTTTTTTTTTTGTAAATTCATTGCTGAAAAGCTCCTTTCAACCGCTGCAGTACCCCCCCGACAGAGAAAACATCAATTCCACCATACACAGTATGTTGCTGTATTTCTAGATTAGAGGGTCATTTTAGAAGTGAGGCGCTAGACTCTTGTAAGATAACAAAAATTGAAAATGTATCACGATCATTAACGGGAAAATGGCCGTCCGCGCGGACGTCGGATTCGAGAAATTAGTCGTCCGCGGGGAATTTTTGACAGCCGAGGACTGGCGGACGGGCTGTTTTTCGAGTCCTGCTTTGCAGACAAAAGTTAACACAGCATAAAAAATATATAATATTCCATTTGGACAAGATTTGACTAAAAAAAACTACCCTACCTTCAAGCTCCCAACAAATCACCTTCTATTTCTCGTGTCGTTGATATTTCCGGGCTGGTGTGTTCAAAAGATTAAAGCAATCTTTTTCTTATGTCCGGAATCATATTTGTATCTTAATTTGAGCACCATATGGTAGCACTGACTGTTTTTCATGTGTTTAGAGATTATTTTCAACTAGAACAACTCATCAAACATGTACGCTAAAAATTAACTTAAAAATGAGTGCATATATTACTTATACACTTAGTTTTATGTAATTTTCTTGAATAAAAAAATTGGCACTTTTCTTCAAAATTATGCGAACTACAAACTAAATTTGTGAATATCGATAGATTTTGCTAGTTTATAAAGGGTTTAGCATCACATAATTTAATTAAGTGGTGAATTATATATACCAATGAATTGCTTAAAAATAGTGGTGGATAAAAATCCGCTAAATTGAATTTATTAAACCAAAAATCACAATAATTAAGTAAATTTTGAATAAATTTTCTGCAATTCCGTAAAAGAGTGTAAATTTTATATTTCTGTATCATATGTTATACGCTGTCAGCCAGCTGTTTTTCACGGCCTATGTGAAAGGTCAGTGTCAGCAAGCGGTGGCAGACGCAGCCTAAATGTAATTTCAGTTTCAGCCACCGGTGGTTGACGTAGCCTAAATGTAATTTCAGTGTCAGCCACCGGTGACAGATGCGGCCTAAATGTAATTTCAGTGTCAGCCACCGGTGGTTGACGCGGCCTAAATGGAAAGTCCAGTGTCAGCCACCGATGGCTGACGTGGCGCTCAACGTGTTAAACTTACAAAAGCTCTTTCAGTTCCTCTGACTCTTCATTAGGGGTCAAAAGAGAGTTAGTAACTTTTTTTTTAGCTTTAAGAAGAGAAACATTGTGAGAAGCCAAACTGAAATATTTATGTATCGGTAATGTTTTTTTAAATTAAATTATAGTGGTATAATACGAAAATTTTTTTTAATTTGCATACACTTATTATTTTTATTCATAAACTTATTTTTGCATGGGTATAAATGATGCCATTTATAAAAACTTCAAGCGTGTACTGAAGGACTAATTGATATGCAACTGTATATAAAATAAACACTACACATTTGCTGTTTCTTAAATTCGTGTATGGATCGTTTTTATTTTATATATATATAATTTATTGATTGATTAATTTATTTGCATTTAGTGGTAGTCAAAATCAAATTACATTAAATTTATAAATCCGAAATTTAAAAACAAATGTCGAAAAAGTATTATCAATTTTAACATAAAAATGAAATACTTGTAAGAACAATCCTGAATTTTTTGACAGCTATTCAGCATAAGATTATT